CTATCCTAAGTTTGAAGTGATTTTTCAGAAGTGCGTTTTCCTCCCCAGACACATACATGGCCCTTTGTGCCATGGAAACTGAGTGTAGCTGTTCTGCCTTGCCATGGGAACACTGTTTTGAAGACATTTTCTTTAACCAGGCTTTTAGCACATCCATTTTGATTTACATCCAAATGGGTCACAGACATCAATGCAGTATTATATGGGCAGAAAAAGGGAATGAAATGCTTTTAACATGAAAAATATGCTCTTGCATATAGGCCAACTTTTGTTCTCTTTCAATTTATCTAGGATTTGGGTGGGTTTAGTTCTAGGACCAAATTCAGTACTGGCATAAGTGAGCACAACTCTATTAGTGCAAATGGTGTCTCAACATTTATGTCAACAGTGAACTTAGATCATTGAATTTTTCCCATGTTTGGGCTTGCATGTTTCCTGCAAGATAATATACACATGTACTTGCACATATGCTGCACATATGCACATAAAAATTCACTGGGGAGCACATTTGGCTCTTTGCTCCATGTTTAACTTTATGTATAGAAAATGCAATCAGCTTACAAATTCTTTGCTTGCCCTGTAGCTAATGTGCCATGCGTCTGTGAGGGTCAGCCATGCAGAATGCCATGCTGCCAGTAAAATTCCTAGCAGCAAAAGCAAACATGAAAATTGCTTTTCTTTCCTCAGTCTGCAGGACTGCACGTGCACAAAGATCCATGTGTGTCATTTGTACAGATTTTTCTCCCCTCTGTTATCATGAAGTTGAACATTGTCTCGAACAGAGGGATATGTAGAACTACTAGAGATGCTTATCATTGGAGTGAATTGTAATATTTACTCAGCTGCAGGTTTAGTGTATGCTGTGAGGTCTGCTTGCCTCTTAGTGCCTGAAGAACAGCAAGGCCAAGGCAGAGTTGTCTCATGCTCTGTGATGCTTTCTGCAGCATTTGGGGTGTTGGGTAGAGAGAGGTACAAATGTTGCACTTTCCTTGGATCACCATAGCTTAGATGTCCTGAATAGACACCAAGCCCTGGCTGTATTGGGAGAACAAAGCTGGCAGCTAATTTCTACCCTGAACTTTTCCTACAAATGTATGGCAAAGGTGACAGGACACACAGGTTAAGGAGCTGTGTGCACTTGTCAAAGATCATTGACCATCTGGAGGCCAAGTGTCCACAGCACGTGAGGAGTCCACATTTGTGGGCACCATATACTTCTGTATTTAAAAGCAGTGGTAATATTTACTTCTTTTGATTGTTATTAGATTAAAAGACCTTTGATATGGTCTAAGAGTGACTTTTCCAATCCTCCCTCTGCCCAGCAAAATAGGATGTCCTTGTGTTCTCGGTATCGAAAAAGCTAAATCACAATTGAGGTGAGAATTAGAGGACACTGGCCTAGGGAACAGTAAGAAATGGGATCATTAGGAAGAAAAGTAAGGCTCTGCCCACATATAAAACTTGACCCTTCTCTGTGAACATTATCCCTGTGAATAATTGGAAATCTGCATTGAGGGTTCCTGCTGTGTCCCATCCCCTGAGGCCACACCCGCTGTATTGCTTTACATGGAGCAGCAATGCACGGGGAGATTTACATATATATCACATAAGAGTGTTTACAAAAAAAATTAGCATGTGATTGAGCTGGGAAGCTGCAGAGGGCCCCAACTGTACGAGTTTCCATGCACTTCAGCCAGAAGATTTATTTCCAATTTGTTATTCATAAGGGAAGAGCGAGAGATTGGGATGGGGTCCTTTGAAGTGGAAAACAAAGTCTTCTATTCAGCCTTCAGCTTAATAGAATACACATGACACAGGCTTGGCATGGCGGCCTGCTTTCATGTAATGTGCTCCTTGTCCTTCGCTTTCCTGGGCTGTGAATGCTAGTGGGAATGGATATTGCTCTGGAAAAGTCAGGTTATCCCCTGCAGCCTTCTGCAGGAGGAGCACGGTGTGAGCAGGTAGGAGCCTTCTGGTGATGGTGGTGGGGAAAGGAGGCTGAGCCAACTGTGTGCAGCTGCTCATAGCTCATGGGCTGTGTTTCATAGTGCAAGAGCATGTGTAGAGAGAGCAGTGTTGTTGCAGAGCTTCTGCAGGCATTGCACAGGCCCTTCTGCCCTGTTTGGAGCCACTGAGCATGACCCATGGATGCTGAGCCCCACACCCATCTTCTGCCTGACTTCAGCTCTCACTGTTATCCCCCTGAGTAGAAGACTTTGCTGAATTTGTGCAGCATCTAGAATGGCAGAATGTGATCTAGGCACTGTATCACTGCAAATAACCAGCAATTCTGTTCTAAGTCAGTGTTTGGGGACATATGTCTATGGATCCTGTATGTTTTTCCAGGAACAAGGCCCTGGTTTTACAGTGATCTACAAACCTCTAATAGCTTTTGCACTTTGCCCTGTCTTAATAGTATTAAAACTTGCTCAGTGCAGCACAAAGGCAAAGAACTTACAAGCCTGACTTACCACAAGGCCCTGTCAATTAGTTGGTCCATGTGTAACCTTCAGCACGTCATGTTGGCCCATAGCATCGTGTGGTTAGAAAGAATTTGGACCAGAGTCCTGCTGGTCCTCTTGGCCCTGTGACACTTGCTCCTCTTGGCTTCCTCTGGGATGATGTCCTCGTGCCCTGCTTCTCTCTCGCTCGTCTGCATGTTCAGGTTTGGAGCTCTGGGTGAATCACCGAAATCGGAGATGGAAAGAAATGCATGAAGTCATCTCATCCTGCCCTTGCCAGTGCAGGATTATTCCCTACTGTACAGTCTTGAGTGCCTTCTCCAGTCTATTTTTAAATGACTCAAAGGAGAGGGCTTTCCTCTCCTCCCAGGGGAGGCTGGTTCTGCGGTTCAGTAGACCTCACTGTTGGGGAATTTTCTTCCTGTTCACCAGCCTCAATTCTCCTTTTGCCTAATTTAATTGAACCGTTCCTGGCTCCACCCTTTTAAACAATTTTCCGTGTTGCATGACTGTTGCAAATACCTGTTGTCAATTTGCAGGCATAATGGATGGGAATTCATCACCGTTTGCCGTGCTTGGCAAAGGCTCTGTGTGCAGAGCTGCCCTGGGAAGCCAGGCTCTATCAGAAACCAGATTTCAGAGCTACATGCCAAGGAATAAAAATGACCTTTTCCTTCTTCTTTGGACAATGACATTAACATAAAACCCCATCATGACTGAGGATAGACTGGGCTTCTGGCAAAGCCATGAATGTCTGTATTAATGGGCTGGTTTTCCTCTTAGTCCTCCAGCAGCTTTTTCACAGTGCTTTTTTTTTTGCATGGCAGAAGTAACTGTTCCGAGTTCTCGGGTTTAGCTCTAGATTCGCAGACGTTTTGGGAACATTTAATGAAAAAATACATTAATTCTGTTTTTATCGAGTGTCTCCAGCAGTTGAGTTTCTAATCCCTGACTTTCAATTTGAGGTTTCTTAAGCACCTGAAGTGTTTTGAAAAAGTGGGATTTGTGCTTTGCCAACAGCCAGACACTTTGTCTAGGGACTGTGTGTCCTTCATCCAGCAGGACTGAGTTGCAAGAGAACTGTGTGTCCAAAGACTCTGAGTTATTCCAGAAAAGCATATTATGGTTTTGAAGAATCATGAATCCCTATTTATTTATTTATGAGATGAAAATCAGTTTCTGCTGTGGGTGACAGCAGAATAGCAGCCCATACTGAAAACACCAGGAAAGGAATGGCTAGCATTAAAAGGGCTGAGATCCCTTCAGTGGTGAGAGCTGCAGCTATTTAGCTGTGGCAGGGTACCAAACAACACTGTGGCTGGGCATTGTTGCTTGAACAGTTTGATTTTTAAAACATTCAACTGAAATATAACCACCAGCCAAGTGGGAAGGAGCGAGTCACGAGGACAGTGTGTTAATGAAGAGTCAGCAAAGGAGGGAAGAGTTCTTGTGCTCCAGTGGAAAGTGGCTGTACTGCAGACCAGGAGCCCCAGAGCAATATCTCACCCTAGCACAGCTATCCAAATGCTTTGAAGAAAATTTTATGCTATAGTAGTAATATGACTTTAAAAAGAATGAGAATTCCACAGCTATAAAATAAAACTCCTGATTTTTCTGCGGTAGGCTTCAGAAGGGCCATGGACCCTGTCCCTTTTTGCTCAGCATTGATCCTCACATCATAAACCAGAACCTTCTCCTCCAGAGAACTTCCAGCATTAAGCATTTCAGGAGATGGAAAGGGAGGATGAAGCAGAGTGGAGGAGAACACAATGGCCATAGCTGCTGTAGTAAAACCCACCCAAGGCCCTGTCCTTTGCTGCTGACACTGCTCAGGCTCATCAGGCCTCATGATGTGACTCTTGAGAGGTGTTTTTGGAAGGCACAGTGCTTGGTGGTGCTTTCAAAAATGCCTGTTTAAATGCTGCTGTGAGTTCATGGATGGGATCATGGTGTGTGGGAGCTGTGGAGAGGAGGGTGTGTGGTCCCTAGTGACGCCAAGTGGAAAACAGACACACCTGTTTTGGGATATAATGGGAGTGATAAGAGTAATTTCTTAATGATGGGGGTTTTTGGGAGTGTGAGGGGAAGGATTGGTTTAAGAAATGTAGGGAGCAAACAGAACTTCTGCCTCACTGTGCTGGGGATTGTTCATTTGAAATGGGAGCACTTGGGCTGAGCTGATACTGGTTCTTGCATGCTGCTCCCCCACTCAGTGTTTGCTTTGCACTGTTTTATCTGCCAAAAAGAAAATAAATTCACAAAATATTTGCAAAGTTGCATGGCCACAGGCTTAAATACATACATATGAATTCCCTGAAAGCAATTTGCTTCGAGCCCTCAGTTCCAGACATCTTTCTCACTCCCCATCTGCTTGTTCAAGTACACAAGTTCCTTGGGAAAAATCACTTATTACATCACTGAAAAATGCCACAAAAATAGCTTTTCACTTAAGTTCCCATCCTCGGAGTTAACTCACATGGGGATCAGATAGATTCAAACATTTAATAACTTTTTATTTTCCTTTCTCTTTAAACACAGGATCTCTGGTCATGGAAGCAGGGTCACGTGGTGGATTCTTGGCAGTCAGCAGTCTGTGGAGCTTTTGCAGGTGCAAAGGATTATATGTTATACTGGGAAAGACTAAAGAAGAAAGGGAAAAATGTGCAAATCTATTAAGTATAGCAGAACAACATTCCTTTGTAATTCAAGTTTGTTTAGAAGAAAATGGATCCAGTTGTTGTTTGGGAATAGGAAAGTCAGCAAAGGAAAGAGAAGAAGGGAGAAAAAAAAAAGCCTCAGCCAGGGTGTCTGTTTGAAAGACAACCAATTTGTTTTTGACAAATTTCTGTTATTTAAATACCAGGGCCCTGTCAGTCAGGCTTTGCCATTATTTCAAAGTTGATTTGTAAAATCCTCATCCAGGAGAAACTTTGCCTGGGTGGGGGTTTGTGCAGCTGTCTGCTCCGAGCACTTCCCCAGGGGCTGAAGTGATTGCAGCGAGAGGCAATGATTCACCATTCATGTGACAGCTCTGACAGCCATGTAGATTAACTGGAGGCAGGAGAGCAGAGGCAGCACTGCTCAGCCCGGAGGCAAAAGCCTTCTGCAGCGAAAAAACCCAGAGGTCGAAACATCTGGGCAATCTCCAGACACTAGAACAAGAATAAAGAGTGGCAGAATACAATACTGCACTATTTATTACCAAACGAGCCAGAAGTTAATTAGCCTTCAGTAGGCTTCTTGCTTGATTTTAGCCTACTGTAGTTGTTTCCCAGAAAAAAAGAAAAGAAAAAAAAATCAATTAATGACTCATCAGTATAGCTGACAAGTTTGAGGGAGGAGAGACTCAGCTGTTTTAATAGAAAAAACAGATTAGTAGTTAAGAGATGGATAGCCAAAGCTTTTCCCCAAGGAGCTAAAATACATTTTGAGATTCCAAACCAGTAACAGAATATGTGGAAAAAATAAATCCCGTTTAAAGAGAAACTATAACATTTCTTGAAATAGAGATGATCAGAGGCTAAGCTTGTTCTTTGATAGCTCACAAACTCAGAGCCGTTTCATCATATGTCATGTTAAAAAATAAGTTCTTTTAGGGGAAAGGAAGTATTAGTAGCAGCAGAATTGCAGCAGAGATTGGGGCTTGGTGTCGATGGGCACTGTCACTGCAGGGCTGAGGGCAGGGAGGGAATGGTTTAGGTAGAAATGATTCCATTTTGGGGCAGAGGGAATATTTTACATGACCTCTTGTAGTCTTGTCCAGCTGTATTTTCTGTGTTTATGCGATGGGAAGGGAGTTTTATTCTGCTGCAAATCCTGCTGTTGGATTTTGCATTGACTTCATCAATCAGTGCAAATGAAATCAGAGGGGTCAGAGCAGATCGTTCATTTTTGGTTTGAAACAAATCAAGCTATCAGACTAAAAACACTTTAAAATGCAATCTGTGTGTCTGCAGGTGTGATGGGGATCGTTAATTTACCTCTGTTGATTTCTCTGCAGTCAGATTGATACATAAAAACTGTGTTCAGGCATGTTCAGAGAGCTGGAAAGGTTATCTGATTTACCCAAGGCCTGGTGGAGTAATTTCCTGAAGTCCAATTTGCTGCCTCAGTTGGGAATCTACCCCAGTGCCTTCACTTCCTTCTCTGTGTGTCTTGATCCTGACCAGTTGTGCTTGGACTTGCTACTGTGTAATGGATGTTAAGCAGTGTTTGCTCATTTTCTAGCAGATATGCTGTAGGAGGAACTTGCAGGGGGCAGTTGTGGGTAGACACGTGCTCACTGCCCTTTGGCAGACACTGGGGAGATCTAACACTTTGTGGTGAAGGAGAAACCAAGTCCTGCAGCAGCAGAGACTTCCAGGTCCATGGAGGTGTGGTAGGTGATGGTCGATGAGACAATTCAGCTTAGCTGCCTTCATAGTCTCTATTCCCCAAGCACAGATCTTTGCAGAGCTCAAGTCCTATTTTGTAGTTCATGTTGTAATTGGTGATGGTAATTATTCTCTGAGTTATCTTTCTAGCTTCAAGTCCTCCAGCTTGGTTTTCCTTCTCTGTGCTTTGTTTCCCACTCCTTTCCTTTTCACCAGCAGTATTGAAAACTTCCTTTTTCAAGTGTCCTCTGAGGACCTGCTTCGAAACTCACAAGGTTCAGCTCTTTTTGGATCAGAACCTTTCCCTCTGCCCCCATTGCCTCCCTCTGAAGACATGTAACAGACCCAGCATCTATCTAATCTGGTAGTGCATCCATTCTGTTTCACTGAAAATATTCAGCCTTCTTGCTGAGGAGAGGCAGTGGAAAAACAATTTCCTGCTTTCTGAGGAGTGGATTCCATAGCTAAAAATTATTAACTACCTACATATAGATTCAAACAAGGGAAGGAAAACCAGACCAAACTCTTTATCCTGTTCTTTCCACGCCAAAACACAAATATCAAAACCTCACCAGGACCCTGTGAGTAAAATAAGATTAATATGTGCATCCAAGTGGTTTAAAATCTTCATGTTATAAACCTTAAAAGGAGAATATTCTCCAGAAACACAACCTTTGCATGCAGAGATGCTGTCAAATGCCACCATGGTAGTGAGATGGTGAAATCACACAAACACACTTTTCTGCTGTGTTCTTTGCTTGAATTCAATACTTTCTAAAAATATGTTAGAGGTCCTGAGGGGCAGCTGAAACAAACTGAAAGAGAAGTCCTGTTTAGCTTCCCTTTATGGCACACACACACACGTGTCTGTGTGCAGTGGTTAGTTCCTAGCTAAATTATTATTTGGCAAAGACAGAACCAAGAGCAACAATCTATTGGATTCCATCCCCAGTGCCTGTGAAGTGGCAGCAGTTTCAGCCAAAGGGCTGGGAGAGGCCTGATGCTGCCTTGTGTGAGTGCACATGTGTAAGATGTGTGTATGTGATCCATCAGCTTTTTATAGACACATAATAGGCACAAGCATAAATATCAGAGACTTGGAATCCTTTCTGTCTCATCTGTTAATAATTTAATCTCTCGAGGCCTTGTCGAACTTTATCATCATCTTTAGTGTCTTAACTAGAAGAGATGTTTGGAGCAGTCAGGGAGTGGGAGAAGGTGATGTCTGAGCAACTGGTGGGGAAGAACCCAAGGGTAGATAGAATCATAGAATCAACCAGGTTGGAAAAGGCATCCAAGATCATCAAGTCCAACTCTACTGTGGTTACTAGACCATGGCACTAAGTGCCACATCCAGTCTCAGCTTGAAAACCTCCAGGGATGGTGAATCCACCACCTCCCTGGGCAGCACATTCCAATGTCTGATCACTCTCTCCCTAAAAAATCTCTTCCTAATATCCCACCTAACCCTCCCCTGGCAGAGCTTGAGTCTGTGCCCTCTTGTCCTGCTGCTGGTTGCCTGGGAGAAGAGACCAACCCCCACCTGACTCCAACCTCCTGTCAGGGAGTTGTAGAGGGTGATAAGGTCTCCCCTGAGCCTCCTCTTCTCCAGGCTGAACACCCCCAGCTCCCTCAGCCTCTCCTCATGGCACTTGTGCTCGAGTCCCTTCACCAGCCTCGTTGCTCTTCTCTGTCCTCTGTGGAAGTTGGCAGTGGCAAGGAAGTCTTGCCATTGGGCATTAGCTGTCAGGAAAGCAAAGCACTGCCCTGCAGCAGTGAGGTGATCTCCAGCTTGTCAAGGAACCTAAATGTCCGTTTAATGCGATTGGAAATTGCCTCTGTTAAGATGTTTTCTTTCTCCCTACCATAAAAAAAAGTGTGGCTTAACATTAATAATTAATGCTCTGTGGTGACAAAGTCACCGAGAATGGAGGTGCAAGTCTAGTGAATAATAATGCACTAAGGAGAGCTTTTTGCACATTAACAGGGAGGACTTCCCATCACTTTTGTTTTGATCTAATCAGCTCTGACAAGATTACACACTGTGTCTAAAAGCCTCTTTAACTCTATAGCTCTGAATAAATTTTTGAGTAGTTCTCAAGATTTCCCTGCAGAGTCTGCTTGGACCATGCTCCTAACCCTGAATTGGTTAAATCTCTGGAGGAGAAGTGCTTTGCCTTGTGGTATTTCTGCTGAAATCCAGAGAAGTTCTTAGGTCACTTTGCTCTACCATTGGCAGGTGTTGTTCCCACACTGATAAAAGGACCAGAATAAACTTCCTCTTAAAAAACTTTAACGTAATATCAATAAAACGAAAGTTCAAATAAGAACTTATTGATTGAGGAGTTCTGAAAAAGACTGTTTGTGAACTTGGAAACCAGTCAGTGTAAGAGGATGCTGTGAGGTTTAGTGTTGGATTTGTGCCACTCAGTTTTTCAACCCGGATTTGGGATTTGATCCTGAATCTGTCCTGGGTAACCTTCAGGTGTCAGTACAGAAAATAATCATGGAGAAAGGCAATAGTACAGCTCGACCTGGATGTTTTTCTTTTCCTAAGGTGGGCTAATTCCAACAAGGGCATTAGCCAAGCACAAGTTCCTACTCTTTGAAATGAGCCTGACCTGCCAAACTGGGCTGGTGTGGCAGAAGAGAGAGCCTGGCCAGATGACAGGAACACAGAGTCAGGAGGAACTGCTGTGATGGCCCCTGGATCCTTGAGAAAGGGTGAGGAGTAGTTTAAATGGTACAGAAAAAAAAAGATACAGAGGCTGAAGAACTTGTCTTCCTCCCTCATTCATAGGACCTTATTTGAAGATTGTGCCAAAGAACCCATGCAGCTTTTTCCTGTAGCAGCAGCAGCAATTTCTACAGGCAGTCACCTTACTGCAAGAACCTAGGGTTATGTATTGTTCTCAGGTGAAGTATTTCACTCTGTTCTGATACTTTTATTTGTGTATGACAGCTCAGAAGTGAAGGAAATGCCAGCAGGAACCTAGGGGGAATATCTTAAGTCTTCAAGAGTTTTTATTCATATTGCCAAGTAAAGGTAAATCATTCTCTGCACATATCTATCACTAGCACTTCCATCAAGAACTGGTCACTGAGAAAGTGTGAGTAGCAGAGGGATTTTCTGTTTAACACCTGAGCTCAGGAACATTTTGCTGCTCAGCTGATGTGTGGATATACAGTGGCCATTGTAACTTCTTGGGAGACAGGTGATGAATTTTCCACTGCTGTGTGAAGGTTTATTTTCCCAATAGAGGAATTTGTCACTCTGCTAGAAGTATTAATGAGCCAAGAGCCTTCTCCCATATGAAAATCCATCTTTATGCCTACTTGCTGAGCCCAAGTGCCCTGTCTAGGGCAAGGGAGAAAGGAGTCTGTTCAGGAGTGAGTTGGTGAGTGAGTCTGGACACACACTGCCTGCCAAGGTGCCTTTTTCTCTGTCAGCTCTGCAGAGAAGCCAGAATGATTAGGAGTGTGAGGCTGGACATGTCTGGGCCTTTCTTGCCCACCTGATGCTTGGATATTTTTGCTTTTCCTGTTTTCTGACTAGTTGAGCAGACTCGAGCCTTATGTGGCAGCTCATGGAGAATTCAGTGACAACAGGAATAGACTAAAGGAGTGATTTAAAGACTGTTGGACCTTACTGTGTATGAGTGGAGCACACAGCTCTCCTATTTTGGATGAGTAGGCTCTGGCTGTACTAGTTTGTGTCTGTTCTATCAATCTGATGCTTGGAAACATTGATGTTTTAAGCTCCTTCCCCCATCTAGCATAGGTGGGAAGGAGCAGTACCTCAGTAGTACAGCAGTCTGTTCTTGGGTACCTGTGCACTATCATTGAAGAGGTCATTCTAAAACTACCTTGAGCATTTAGGGCTAAGGCTGGAGCAAATTCATTTTGTCAGGCTCACTGCCTTCAATAAAAAGCAGTTCCCAACTTTAATCTTGTGTTTTTGTCAAGCATATACAAACTTGCTTTTAATTTAGCCGCTGTCCTGCTGCTTGTTGTGCTTATGAAGCATTTTAATGTTGCTGTTGTCATTCTGAATTGATTGGTAAATCTGTACCAAATACTTCTCAGTGATGGAAAAAGAAACATTGAAATGTTAATAACAAAAGAGTAGGAAAGATCCAGATGTTAGCTGGGGAAAAATGAAAACCAATCAGCCTTGATTAAACTTTTCAGATAAGAATTTGGGAACATCGTGTCAGGATAAATTGTGTTTGTTCTAATCACTCTGTCAGCCAAGATTGAAGCTGCTGCCAATAAAGAGCTGTTACAGAACAAATGCATTAAAAAAAATATTGGGATCTGATAAGAGCCATAAGTTAGTCTGACTAAAGTGTTACCATCAGTGCTCGAACTGGGTGATGCTTTGAGGTTTGTTGCTTTATACAGGCCTGACAGCCACGTGGTTCACTGTTTGTGTCTTGGTCTGTGGGCTAAGGAAGGGCATCTACATCCAGGCTTGTAAAGCCACTCTTTTCCATGGAGATTATTTTTACCCTTCTAAAAATACATCACTGACATGAGATAGAAACCAAAGTTTCTATCCAGACCCGTCCCTCAAAGCCTTTGGGTCACTTACTCAAAAACTGGCTCACAATAAAAAGATTTCTGACCTTAAAGAAGGTCCAAGAATGGACTGGAATTTAGTTTAACTTGCTTATAGTGTCTGCTTTGACTTCTTGAGTACAACCCATTTTCCTGCTTCTTAGTGAGGTAGCAGTGCTAGAAAGCTTCCTGCAGAGTGAACCAGGTGGGACAACCTTATGGGAGCAGGAGCTGCTCCTAAACTAGGAATTTTGGGCTGTTCACTAACTCAGCTTGCCTGCAGTTCTTGTTTGAGATCCAGGGCACTGCACATGTGCCTTACTGCATCTCCTGAACTGGCTATTCCTTAATTAACTGTGAGAAGTGAAGCAGGGTGCCAGCTGGCCCAGCCTCTCTTGTCATAAAGCAGGAGTTTAATAAGTTAAAGCTAAGGTGGTTGAGAGAGAGAGATGCAGGTAAAAACACGAGCCAGCAGGGAGGATGGATTTATTTGTTACTTTATAGCTTTTAGAAGAAATGCTTTTTTCCCCTTTCCCATCCCAAGAAAAGAGAGATCAATTTTTTGACATTCTGTAAAACTTGGAACAGAAAATAGATTATTTTTAGCTTATTCCCTGGGTACTGTGTAGGCTTCAGTCTTTGGAGTCACTTTGTTCCCTGCTGTAGCAGATACAGGATTTATACAAGCTCCAGAGGGGGGGAAAAAAAAACCAAAACGGGGAAGAAGAAAGATTTCAGAGCAAGTCTGCCTTTCTTTTCTTCCCCTTTCGTTCTTCACTTACTGCTGCTCCTGCATTTTAGATGTTTCCTTCACTTTGGCTCTTCCTCAGCATGAATTACTTGCTTGAAATATTGTAAACAGAGGAGGGAGAGATTAGAGTTAATTTTAGGATGGGGAAATAAGGCAAAGGGAATAAAATCCTGGGAGAAAAAGCAGCGAAGCTGGTCCCTAGATAGTGCAAGAGGCCAAGCTGTAGCCACAGGGTTGAAGTTTGGAGCCAGACACACACGTTTGTGGGTGAGACATGCAGAGGGATAAGCTGATGATTTCTGGCTTTCGGGAGGAAAGTCACAGCTGAGTTGGCTGCGGCAAGTGAAAGTAATGAGCTCCAAGGGTGAAGTTTGGGAGTGATTAGAGAGAATAAAAATGCCCCTGAGAGGGAGATGGCACTTGTGGCAGCAAACTTGTGACAGTTTTCTAAGAGCCTTGGGCAGCTTTGTATTGTTGGAGCTGATTTCATTTGCTGGAGATGAGCTGGTTTGTCTTTTTCCCTTGAGACAGAGTCCCAGGTCTAACAGTCTGGATCCAGTCTGGCTGTATCTGAAGCTTTATCCCTGAGGCATGAGTGCTTCAGATGCATCTTCCCTCTCTTTTTATCTCTGCAGCATTTGAATGGTCAGCCTTTCATTCTCAAGGCAGAACACAGTGTGACTAGGTTATTTTCCCATCTCAGTAAGCAGGTTCTTCCTTTCAAACTTGCTGTAGGTGTTGGAGGTGGAATCCAGTATCCTTACAACTTTCCTATGTTCATATACGTAGAGTCCAAAACAAAAGGACAGTAATCTCACTGGGGATGTTTGGATTTACAGTTAGCTAGTATAGAGCTGTTTTCTTAAGTCAACACACACTAACAAAACACTCTGTGTACAGACAGACCTTCCACAAACCTACCAGGGCTCTGAGGTGAGGAAACATGCTGTAGGCATTAGGAGCTGAGCAGTGTTGACCACAGCCCTGGGAATTACATAGTCAGTGTGGCATTCGTATTCAGCCAACAATGTCTCACTTGTGTTTGGTATTTTAACTTTCTCAGGTGGGTTTGCAGCTGCAGTCACCACACCCCTCGACGTAGCGAAGACGAGAATTATGTTGGCCAAGGTAAGAGGGAAGGAGGCAGACACAGCTGAAGGGCCTGGGTAGCTCCAGGGTTGCTGTGTGGTCATTACAGAGTGAAATCCAGCACCTATTAATAATCATTTCTTGATTTCTTCCTGCTCTTGTCCTTGAAGGCAGGATTAGATGTGAACAGGCACTGCATGCACAACTAATGAAATTGTTGTGTTCTTTTCCTTGAATTGCTCCTCTGGTCCTTTCCCAAAGGAGTTGTCTGAAACAGGTTTAGCCTTGTGCTAGACTTCCAGATTCTCATGCAGTGTCTTTAGGAGAAAATCAGTCAGACACCCAAAGTGAAACTGCCCATCAGGGATTTATTCCTCTGTGATTTTGATAATTGTTGGGCCAGGGCAGTGTATGTGTGTGTCTTTCTGAGGAAGGCTTGGCACTGGGTTTTCTCTCCTAAAATTTTAAGCCATGGAGATTGTGATGGCCTACATTTGCCAGCCAGGGCAGAAGGAACACTGCTTGTAAGATCAGTAAGTTCAGTAAGTATATAAAATGCTATTGGATCTGGTGTTCCCATCATCATCTCACTGACCCAGAGCCACATAGCTGAAAGCTCTCAGCAGGTGGATATGCCTAAAGCCTTTCCTTGCCCTGAAAAGAGCTGTTGTGTTGGCAAATGCTGGACATCCTGGAGTTTCTATGAGTGGTTTTCACCCTGTTGCTCACATCTCTCAGGTTGGGGTGTTTCTTGTTGATGACAGGCACTTGTTGATGACCAAGTCACACACATCTCTGCTCACCATGGTACTATGTTGTGTTTCTGTCATTGCTGGGTGGTATCTGCTGCAGCTGCTTTGTCTTGGGTGGTGTTGGGTGACTGTAAAATCTGGGTTTCATTTATCTCTGCTGCTGTCCTGAGCAACCAGGTAAACACTGGTAAGGGAATGAGGATGCTTTGAGGTGTTCTGAGACCATTCAAACAGCTTCTTTATATTAGTCATCTCACACTAACTAGATCACACATGTAATCCAATTGTCTCTAGTCCTGCTGTTTGGCCTCTGGTTTGCACTCCAGGCAGTTTTCACATGCTCAGGGTTTTTTGTTTGTTGTTCTGAATCTCAAGGATGCTGTTCTCTTGCAGTGAGCAGCAAAGTAACTTGTTGGTGCTTTGTGAGTGTGTTCTTATTAATGTCTTACTCCAGTGTCAGCTGTTGGATGTAGAGCTGAGTATAGTTCAGAAAGGACTGGATACCCAGTTCTGAACTAACCAGCTCTGTGACCTCATTTTATTCTTCTGTGCCTCTGTTTCCCTGTCTGCCCTTTGCCTCATTCCTGGAAACAAAGAGCTTTTGCCTTTTCCTGGGATAAGGAGGTCATTAGGACATCTGTAATTCCTGTCATGTAGCACTAACCGGAGACAGGAGCTGAGTAAATAACTAAACCTCTGCCAACAGTTTCCAATCTCTCTCTCTCTCTCTCTGCTTCAGGCTGGTTCCAGCAATGCCAGAGGGAATGTTCTGGCTGCCCTTGGTGACATCTGGAGGACACAAGGCCTGTCGGGGTAAGCACATGCTGTACCTCAGGTGTTGTATCTCTGTGTGTTGGGGGCTGGGAGAGGATGGGGGATGTACTGTCATGCAGAAAAGACTTTTGATAGCTACACACCCTGACAGGGAGCAGCAGTCAGGTAGCTAAGAGCAAGTCCCTCAGACAGGTCTAGTGTCCTCACCTTAGCACTAGCTGGGGGCAATGTCCAGGGAAGAGGACAGAAATGGGACATGACCATCCATGGTGCAGTCTCTACACCCAGCTCCACGTGTTGGAGGTGATGGTGGCTTTGTGTTTCTAACCTGTGATGAACTTTGTGAATGTGTTTGTGATTTGTATCCATTTAAGTTCAGGCACACACACCTCTTGTGGCAGCAAGGATTACAAGTTCATCTTGAGGTGTGTGAATCACCCCACCTGAGATGTCAGGGAAGGCCAACATAGGAGTCACCTGTCCCTTATGGACAGTCTTCTCCTCCTCCTGGCAATTCCTGACAGATTTGAAGTCACCAGCAGTGTCTCCTCTGTTCTCTTATATTTGCCATTCTTACTGTGAAGCCCATGGTAGCAGCCAATGCCAAATTCATGCCAGCAGAGGGGTCAAGCTGAAGCAGAGGAAGGAAGCCATGTGCTCCCTGACTTGTCCTTTGGGCCTCCCATCAGCTCTGGGTTTGAGCACATGTCCCCATGGATTCTGTGGTGTGGCAGCTATTGCAAGTTTTCTGAGACAGGCCTGAGTGCAAAAGGTCTGAGCAGCCAAAGAGCAGCTCTCTGGTGGCTTTCCTGCTGTGACCAGAGTGTAGAAATGTTCCAGAGCTTTCTTGACCAGCTGTGAACATTCTAGGGTGGTATCAATCCAATCTCAACTTCCTCATTTTGCCCAGTCCTAAGACAGAAAATTGTTCTCTTGACCTTGGAGTGGTGTGGGGAACACAAAGTCCTCTGCTAGTGTTTGTAGAACATTTTGAGGTGTGACAAGCTTATAAATTGTTATTGATTTTTACTGACACCTGCTTCATTTTGCCACCTTGTCCTTTTTGAGTACGTGACTATGCCAGTTGTTGGCCACTCATAATGGATAGATGTCTTAACTTCTCCAGTCCATGATGTTCAGCCTGTGCTTCCTTTGGTAGGGCTTGTGTCCCACCTGCCCTTGGCCTGGAAGAGAAATGCAGGGATTTCTGGAAGCTCTACTTGGGGTTTTCCCTGTAATTTCTCACAGGTTTTTAACCCACTCCCTGTGGCTGATACTGTTTAACCTTTGCACCGTTGCAACCATTGCTGGACGCTGTGTGCACATCTCAGCTTTGCAGGGGACAGTTCTCTCTGAACATCTGATCTCTGCTTGCCCAACTAGTAAATGTTCAATGCTCTTTCTACACATGTGGGAAATAATTCAAAACAAATTGCAGGAAGTTCCTGAACACCGATTCCAGGAAGACATCCTGCTGTGCCCTCAGGCAGTGCTCAGAGATGGGTTGTCTCAGGTTTGCTCTTTGAGGTGATGTGGCAGTGGATAAGTTTTGGGTCCTACGTGGCTTGGTGGACTCTAGGACATGTTTTGAAAGGGACTGGGAGAAGTGAGGCCACGTCTGCTGCTGGTGGCAGTTGAGCTCTGGAGGGTGTGAAGAGCCATGGATTTAGCTGGGGTAACCTCCTCCTTTCCCCAGCCAACAGCAGAAATGAGTGTTTGTGTTCTTTTCAGTGTGTTTCAGCAGTGCCCTTTTCTAAACAACCCCAAATTCAACTCTGCCTAAAGATAGTACCCGTGGACTAGAACCAAAGGGAACACTATTCGGTCGAAATCAAAACAATAAGTGATCTGGAGAAAAAGTAACGTGTAAAGGAGGCCAAGCTGCGTCAGCTGCGAGGAAAAGGAAGAAAGTCTTGGGAAAAATAAACGCAGAGGCTGCCATGCCTGCTGCCAATTATAAATCTATTAATCAAAAACAATAAAAATGTCGGGCTTTTTTGGCCAGTTGCAACATGACATGATTTATGGCTCCTCTAATAAATCTCGTACTTGAAGAGGAGGAATTCTGAGGGCAGAAAAGACGCATTGCTTATTGCCACCTTATTAAAACCAGAGCACAGGGCTCAGCTTCCTGGTCTGCACCTAGTAAATCCCTCTGCTTCATGCCAAGAAATTTCACATCCCTTTCTGTCCGGGGAGAGCCAGGCCTGCAGCAGGAGGGAGGATGGGGATGGGGTGAGCAGATCTCTGTGCCTTTTCGCTCTTGCCAGCGGTGTAGATGAACCATTCACATGAAAGGGAGTTCACATCTTGTCCAAATGCTTTTCACACGAGGAGGTGGTGGTGTTGGAAAGCTGTGGCTGAAGCTTCACAACTCACTGGTGAGGGTTATTGGAGTGCTAAATGTGGTGGGATGGTTTGCCCCAGCCTGTGTGTCGCTGGGGATGGAGCTGGTGGTTTGCTCCAGGTGTCTTGTTCCTCAGATGAGCTTTGGAGTGGACTCAGCTTGGCAGGTGTGAACCACACTGCTCTCCACAGCCAGATCTCACTGGCTCTGCTGTACAACAAACTGCCTGCAGAGTGAGCTTGGTGCACAGCTGTAGCCAGAGAAGAGCAGTGGTTTGTCTCAGCATGGTCTCCTTGTTGGTGCAGAGTAATACATGAGTTTTGTGGCCAAGCACACAGAGCCTTTTTCAGCACTGAGCCCTCTATGCTGTGTCCAGGCCCTGAAGCACCTTATCCACTTTCCTAGGAAAGCAGTGGAATCACTGTCCCTGGAGGTGTACAAACAATGTGTAGATGTGGTGCTTAGGGACATGGTTTAGAGGTGGACTTGGCAGTGCTGGGTTAGTTGTTGGCCTTGATGATCTTACAGGTTTTTTCCAACCTAAATGGTTCTGTGATCCGCAGGGTAACTGCAGGGGTCCTGTTAGGAGTGAGGAGTGGCAGGGAGCCAGGTGAAATCTGTGCAGGCAGAGAGCAAATACAACTAAACAGCAGTGCCCACCAGAGCAGCTTCTGATGGGGCCAACAGAAACAAACCCAATTTGTCTCCTCTGCTGATGGAGGCAGTTTGGGTCAGACCTGCCACAGGGCTCAGCTCTGGATTTGGGACCTCCCTGCAGCCCTTCAGCTCTGCCCTCTCACCGAAGGGAACCACAAGGAAACTGGGGGAAGCAGGGCCAGGATTCTTGGAAGTGATGGTTAGTAGCAGTGTTGCCAGGGCTGCAGCTCCTGGGTAACTGAGTTATCAGCCCCTGTTTGTGTAATAGCAGTGTCTCGAGTGGGCTGTTCTGGGAGGGAATGTCTGCTACTGCTCCTGTAATGAGGCTCCCTAATTCTGCAGGAGAGGGATGGTGTGTGCTCCCCAGGATCTGCCCTATCAGCGCTCTGTCCATACATGCCTTGTACAAATTACTCTCTTTTAAAGCTGTCATTATGGTAATAGACCCAATTGCTGTCTAGTAAAGCCATAAAATGTTTCCATCTGCCTGTGTGCTCCAGGCTCCTTCGCAAAGCTCATTACAGCCAGAGTTACTGCAGCCAGAGGTTTCCCTGTGCAGCACGAGTAACTGGGCATGGACAGGGAGCTCCTGAGCAGCCCAGGGGGATATTTCCTGTGCAGCTTGGTCTCACCAGGAATTGAACCCTGCTCCACTGTGGGTATGCTCCCAGCAGGGACCTTGCAGCATTTGGAAAAAAACAAGGACTGTGTCCCTGCAGAGCTCAGCCAGAGTGTGATGCGCAGAGTTCTTGATCCAGGGGGAGGCAGGGGGGATGCCAAATGGATTGAGCCTAATGTTTAATCCTTGCTTGCCATGAAGGAAGCCTGTAATGCTCTGAGACGATACACTGGCCTATGCTGAAGTTGTTAAACCAACTATGAGCTTAGATGTGTCAAGCAATTGGTTTTGCATGAGTTTCCTGTTCATTTCCAAGAACTATTAGCATCAGGTACCTAAAGATTGCAGCAGCTGAATTGAGTATCTTGCTCCCTCCTGACTGGCACCTGTTGTGTGTCCCTGGGAGTGAGCCAGGATGTCTCTGCAGCTGGGGAGCCCCTGGCAGTGAGAGGGGTCCCTCTGTCCAGGCTGGAAGGAGGAGGATGGGATGCTTCCCATCCGTCTGCAGCCCTTTGTGGGGATGTGTCTGAGCTCCTCTTTCCTCAGCATGGCCCAAAATCTCCTGCCCTTGTGTGCCTGAGGAGTGTGGAGAGGGGTTAACAAACACTTGGGAGTGCTGTCAGGGAAATCCAGACAGGTTCCTCCAGCGAGCAGTGGGATGGGATTTAAGAAACCAGCAAGACTTTTTTTCTTGGCCCCTTCAGGCAGTGCGTGCATCCGCTCCCCACTCATCCTCTGAAACCCTTTCCTGTGCCTTCAGCCTGTTTGCAGGTGTTGTCCCACGGATGGCAGGCATCAGTCTGGGAGGCTTCATCTTCCTGGGGACATATGAGAAGACTCGCCAGCTGCTGCTCTGAGCCAGCCCAGCCAGTCCTGTCGAGATGCTGGAGAAACTGCCGAGTTGGAGGAGTTGTCATCTCGCCTTCCTCCCCCTGGCTGTGCTGCAGCAGCTGTCCCACAGGCTGAGAGCCACTCTCACTGCTAAAGAAAAGTAAATCCTCTAATAATCCAATTTCCCAAACATGAAATTTTCCTGCATGGAAAGCGAGTGAGGTCATTGTGAGAGTTGTGCCAAAAAAGTAATGTTTGGGGGGGGTAAACAGCTAATTACGGTGGCTGCGAAAGGCGTTATTAGAACTCCTGCAGGGGGAAGGTGTTTTGGAAACCTCCAGCTCAGGGGCTGAGCAAGGAGGCTGAAATAAAGCAAGTTTTCATCATTCAGTGGCACCTGCCTCGTAACATGGGGAGGGAAGGGCTGATAGAGTTACAGGCTGCTGCCCTCCAACAGCACCGAAAGTATTCCGGGTTGGGAGAGCTCTTTGTAAGAGACAATAATCCATTTGTTTCTGATTCGAGCTGTATTTGTGGAAGTTTATATTCCTGTTTATACCTACAGGTGCTCAGCAAGCATTCCTGTGTGGGAGCCAGTGCAGTTTTATTAATCAGACTCACATTTCTCCAGTAAAAGCCCAGGCTTGTATTATTTTACAGCTGTGCTTGTGCAAAGACATGAAGCTCTGCCTTCTTTTTGGTCTTCATCCCTCAGCAGCTGAAGGAGCAGGAGGTTGGAAATGCTGAAGCCCAGGAGGAAGGCTGAGAAGGCAAGGTAGAGAGAACAATCTCCTGCTGATGTATGTATGGCTCCTGAGGGCTCTCAGGGGCTGCTGGCAGGTAGAGCCAACCTGCTGCTGCTCTCATGTAGGAAACAGGAGCTGCAGCAGCCAGAGCAGTGCAGGGATGAGCATGGTGAAAATTTCCCTTTTGAAATTGCTCAAAATGATCATGAGTCTGGGCTGGGGGCTCAGATTGACACCAGTAGCTTGGCTGGTGGTGCTTGGAGCTGTGCAGCTGTGTTTGGCAGGACCCAAAGGTCCCTCCTCAGATGGGAGGATGGGTCAGGCCGTGGTGGCTCACACTTTTGCCCTGGGCTTAGGTGTGATGGTGGGAGGCTCCTGGGCAAGGGGTGCTGGCACCTGTGGGGCTGCACTGGGTGAGCTGTGCAAGTGAACAAGGTGCCCATGCACTGGCACTCGAGGGTCTGTGGTCAGGTTTGAGGGGGTGGCAGAGCACAACTTGTGCTGCCACAGCAGCACCTTGTCCTGAAGGCACCATGTCCTTCCCAGCCATCTCAACACTGGTGTACCAGGGATGATGTGAGGCTGTTCCACTCATGAGGACAAGGTACAAGTGTAGGGAGGGAGGAGACCAATGCCACACCAGGTCAGTGCATGCCCAGGGATGTGTGACACAAACGGGCCAGGCTGGCCAAGAGTGGATGTTGTATTACATTGTCATCCCATGACATAGCAATGAGACTTTTTAGAGGCCAAAACTTGGGAAATAATTGGCAGACAAGTAAAACATACAGAACAAAGGACATAATTCTTAAAAATAATCTTCAATTAAACTGTGGAATTTCAGCCAAGTCGCATATATTGGCTGGTGGTTAGTGCTGCCCGTGAGCATGGCTCGGTGTAGCTGTGCTTCCTGCCACTCTGAGATTGTCCCTTTCATTAAGTTCTATATATAAACAGCCAATTTTAGGGGCTGGGGGGGGGTTAGATTTATTACTGTGTCTTAAAATCCAACTTATATTTTCTGTTACAGCTCTTTAAACACGATGAGGGGTTAGCACTGCAGTTGGTGCATTTGATTACTTGAGCTGTAAATAATCATCTTGTGTAAGTGGTTGGGGCCAAATGGTGCAATTTTTTTTTTGCTGGTTTTGTTTAATATTGCATAATCAGGTTTTGTCATCACTGCTTTGGGTTTTATTTAAAAAGAACCAAAAAATCAACAAAACCCAAACAAGTAGCCAAGTTGGTTTAGGCAACCTAATGAAAGGAAGAGACCAAGTGCTTCCCATTTCCCTGTGCACCCCAGACCTGCATGGGAAGGCCAAAGGAAGGTACCCAGGAACAGCACCAGGCAAGTGAGAGTCCCAGTGGGTGGTCAGGGCTGTTCTGCATGTTCTAGTTTGCCTAATCCCAATGAAAAGGATGTTTTTAAGTTTTGGGACTATGGAGAGGGGGAAAAAAAAAAGACCTAATAATGTGTTTTTTCCTTGTGACTCTTTGCCTTGAGTTTTTAGCACTGTTTTATTTCAAGTTGATCAAAGCTTAAAAAATTAGTTTTAGCCATTACTGGGATAAAGTGGAATAACAACTTGAATCTCAGGCCAAGCATCAGCCTCTTAAAGGCTCTTTCTTTTCCATGTTAAAAGACTTTAACTCCTACATGTGCTAAGGGACTTTGAGTAGTCTCAGACAACCTGCTCTGTACCCACAGTTAGAATGGGAGGAGGAAATATTTTTTTTTTTTTTTTGAAATATACAGAAACTGAGTTGAGATTTTTTTAGTTAAAGCAGGAATTCAGGCTTATCTCCAAAGCTGCCTCTGGAATTTCCATCCAGGGTGGGGCTGGGAACACCAGAGGTGTTCACAAACTGCAGCTGGGTCTGGTGTGAACCTGGCCATGTTTTTACTCACACCCCCCCTCAGTTCTGTTTTCAGTGCCAAGGTGAGGGCACTTGCCAGATACCAAGGCAAGATGGATATATGTTAGAGACTTTCTTATGAGTTCTTTATTGTCTCTTTCAGTCCAGGCCCCAAATCCCACCCCATCCCCACAGCCTCATGCTGTTCCACAGCAGCTCCTGGCCCAGTTTGAACAGTGAGTACTCTGACAGTCCATCTGCATTTCCATCAGAGAAAGACAGGAAAGGGTATAGCAATGGATTAGAATTTTATTTAGTTTTCAACTGAAACTCCCAAAAGCTCACTCTCACCAAATCAGCTGTAACATTATAAATGAACCTTTATTAAAGACACTTCAATGCCATTTGTTAGACACTTCAATATCTTACATGTTTTTCAATGTACAACATTGTACCAAATTTTCTAATAAATAAATAAATTTGTACACAAAAGTAATACTTCCTCTTTCACATTGCCTCTTAGAAGCAGCAAATTCACATATTTAGTGGAAGTCATAACATTAGGCAGTTAACTTTATCCAGAAACATCAGATTCAAATGTTAACGTGGCAAATATGTTTTGTGTCTGCAATGGTGATGACATTTCCTCCAGCAAAATGAGTCCATTGAATCTTTCCCATCTTCCCTGTGTCCTTAGTTCCACGAGTTGGTTCTGGAGCTTTTTCCCTTCAGCAAAGGGAAAAGGCCACTTGCTTTACAATTTTCTAACATCCATTTCCTTTGCTTTGAATAAACTTGGCACTCAACATAATTCATCACCTGTCTCAAAGTGCAAATGTGTCAGGAGTCAGGGACTGGGACAGACAGGTACCTGCTGAGTTATGCCTCGTTTCATCCAGGCTGGGGCAGCTGCTGCTCTGCACTGACACTCCCCAGCAGCTGTTGGGCACAGAGGTGAGAGGAGCCAGTGGCTCCTCAAGGTAAGGCTGGGCAGGACCAAAACCAAGGGACACCTTGGATCCTGCTGCAGGAGAGCACATAACCACTCCCTGAAACCACAGAGGTGTGGGAGCACTTGGCCAGTGCCTAAGTGATGGAGCTGAACTGAAAATTAAGTGTTTCTGCTCTTCTCTCTGATGCTTGTTTTGAGCCACAGGCCTAGCAAAGGTGGATTCCCACAGTGGAACTGGCACTGGAGTTGCTCCTAAAGAAAAGAGTAACAACCCTCCAGTAAACCTTCCCCCAAAGTAGTCATCACCAGAATTAGCAACCTCATGTTAGCAGAACTCAATCACAAAGGACAGGGAGTCCTCCATCCACAGGTACCAACACCAAGGGAAAGTTGCCCTTCTAGAAATGAAAGCATCATAGTGAACTGAGACAGATCTGTGTGACTGAGGAGGGTTTTCCTTTATCCCAAATCAATGGATGAACTTAAAAGACCACGTGAAAAGAGTCTGTTCCACCACAAATACACAGTTTCCATTCTAAATGAGTGTACTCTGACGAGCCCAGAATTGCTACCTAAGGCAGCACAACTCACTTGAGGTGGGTGTTTTCCTACACAGTCTGGCTGCAGGTGGGGCCAATGGTGTTCCACAAGAAAGCTAATCCTGTGCTGCAGGGGAAAAAAGGTATCAGATGAATTACCAGTACAGCTGTCCCCTTAGGAGTGAGATTTAGCTCTGTTGTCAAAACAGCTCTATGGTTTCAAACCCCTCCAGAACAGATGTATTTTTTGGGTGTGAAAATGCATTATACTGGCACAGGTTATTCCTTCCAAGCAGGACAAGACTGGATTGTTGTACACACCTCAGACAGGTAAATCTGGATGTGTTTGGCAGGCAAAAGGCCTGGAGTGAGTGCTGTGGGGATCAGTGCTGTGACAGCACATGTGGCACTTACACCTCCTGCAATGACATTCTGGAGAGGTACACTGCATGAGACCACCCCTGGTTCACTGCTCAACTTATTTGTGTTGGTAATGACTGTTCCCTAGTCACCACAGCCTTTTCCTCTGGTTGTTTTGGGGCTCTGCACTGTTGCTGAGTTATTTAGTGCCTCTTGTGTGGTCCACTCACACAGTCACAGTTAAATACTCATTTCAATGCAGTTTTGAAAAATAATGGAATTTTAAGTTCTTCCACCAACAGGAAAATATCAGGTTGCTATGTAATTTCTCACTGGTTTTTTTTTTCCCTTATAAACTTCATTTGGAACAGCTGAAGATCTCTGCTTGAATGTGTTAAGTGCAATAAATTTCAAAGGGGAAGGAAATTTGTGCTAAGTAACCCAAATTGATAGTTGGAATCACAGACAGTTTGGGCTGGGAGGGACTTTAAAGATCAGAGAGTTGCAGTGACACCTCCCACTAGCCCAGGTGGCTCCAAGCCCCATCCAGCCTGGCCTGGAACACTCCCAGAGACAAAACAGCCACAACTTCTCTGGGCAACCTGTGCCAGTGCCTCAGCACCCTCACAGGGAAGAATTTCTTCCATAGAACTAACCTAGATTTCCTCTCTTTCAGCTGAGCCCATTACTGCTTGTCCTGTCACTGCAGCTACGAACACAAAGTCCCTCTCTGGCTCCCTTGTAGGCCCTTCAGATATTGAAAAGTTTCTATGAGGTCTCCACACAACCTTCTCTTCTCCAGGCTGAACAGCCCCAACCCCCTCAGCCACAGGGAAGGTGCTCTACTCCCCTCATCAACTCTGTGGCCTCCTCTGGACTTGCTCCAACAATTCCATGTCCTCCTTATGCTGAGGACACCAGAACTGTAAGCAATATTCCAGGTGGGGTCTCACAAGAGCAAACCAGAGGGACAGAACCACCTCCCTCACCTGCTGCTCACACTGCTTTGCACACAGTTGGATTTCTGGGCTGCCAGTGCACACTCCTCTCCAGCCTCTCACCCCTAGCACCCCCAAGTCCCTCCACAGGGCTGCTCTCCACCACTTCTCCACCCAACCTGTGGGTGTGCCTGGGATTGCCCCTACCCAGGTGTACTTGATGTAAAGGAACTGCCACTGAAAAGAGGACAATCCCTTTGGAACAGTCTGACTTTTGAACTTCTGTTTATGCATTTAAGGCACCAGAATTATTTCTCTCACGAAGTTTTAACAGCAACCTGATACTGAAAACAATATTGCCAAAATTGTAAAATTTCACTCAGTTTTCCATGCACTAAAGATTAAAATAGCCTCTGTAAAAGATATATATTTTTTTTATATATATATATTTATATATGAAAACTCTTATGTACAACTGTATCAAATACTTTTCTCTTTACACAATAATCCCTTGCATTTATGTGCTTCATATGCAAGTTGACTTTTGAACACTTCATACTTCTCAGGGAAGTTTTTAAACTATGTACAATCAGATGACGCTCGAACAGGAGTTTGTTCCCCATACAAGCTTGTTTCTCATACCTCAGTTGGTTGCCCTTGACAGGTCATCAGTTCGAGATTCGAGGTAGAAGGAAGTAGCCTATATACTCTGTGCAAAAGAAAAAAAAATCAACAAAAATAATAGTGTTTGTCACTTTGCACGTGGCAGTCTGTGCTCTCAGTCCAGGCACCTGCTGGGAGGGGAGTCGCAGGGCTGGGCCGCGGTGCCGTTGGGCAGGAGGAGCTGCTGCCCCTCTGCCTCACCCTGCAGATCCAGTAGTGCTGGGGACGTTTCAGGAAGCACATTCAGTTGCTTTAATGACCCTCCTGCTGGTGAGGCTCTCACCAAATTAAGGTTGTTAAGCTCTGAAGGCTTTGCTGCTGCTTGTGAAGAGCCTGCAAAAAACCCAAAGGACCAGTGTGGTTAGTGGATGCTCAGCCTGTCAGCAACTCCTCATCCTCCATGACCTTGGAGGGCTTTTCCAACCTTAATGATTCCCTCACAGGATCACAGGATATTCAGAGCTGGAAGGGACCCAATGAGGATCATTGAGTCCAACTCTTGGCCCTGCACAGGACATCCCAGGGAATCACACCATATGCCTGAGAGCATTGGACAATCAAGAGTGTCTTGTTCATCCATGCTGGCCTTCTGCCCTGGGGAGCTGTTCCAGTGCCCAAACACCCTCTGAGTGAAGAATCCTTTTCTAATATCCAACCTAAACCTCCCCTGACACAACTTCAGACCATTCCCTTGGGTCTTGTCATTGCTTGCCAGAGAGAACTACTCTGCTGCTCCTCAGAGGAAGCTGTATACAGCAATGCAGTCTCCCCTCAGTCTCCTCCAGGCTGAGCAGACCAAGTGACCTCAGCCACTCCTCACGTGGCCAATGATCCTACGCTACAACAAAACCAACCCCAGCACTATCACCCATGCCCCTGAGCTGGTTCAAAAGGCTGATGGAGCACGCAGGGCCCTGCTGTAACCCTGGCAGTGTTGTCACAGTGCACGTGGGGAGCAGAGCTGACCCCAGGACACCCATACCGTGCGTGTCGGCGCTCCCCGGCCGCATCCTGTCGTGGTTGCTGGGGTAGAGGGTCCCGTCTGTCTCCACCCTCTTGCCGCTGGCAATCCCGTTGCAGGGCTGGGGATGGAGAAGGCTGGTGCCTGCACCTCTCTTCCTGCTCCTGTCCTTGCTGCTCAGCACACCAGGGTGGGTGTTCTCCACAGTCCTGAGGCTGTCGGAGCAGTACTCGGAGTCCTTGGGGTAGATGTGGACATTGATGCTGTCTGTGCTGCCGCTGCAGTCTGCACACACCACGGGCAGGCTGTAGCCTTGGGGAGGAAGGGAAAAGAGTCATGACCAAGGAGGAGCAGCTGGAAGTGGTCAGAGTGAGCACACAACTTGTGGGAGGAAAGGGCAGCTCTGTGTAATTCCCTCGGCAGGGTGGGAATCTCTCACCACATCACATGTTGGTTATCCACAGGGCTAGTACACACCTGTTTTCAGAACTCTGCAGCCACCAGCACTAAAGGTAGTTCCAAACAATATGTTCAGTTAGTTGGGTTTAGTTTTCACCCCAAAGAAGTTGTGACTTTTTTCAAATAAACTATGTATTTATTTCCTTTTCCAGGCTTCCTAGTCAGGGTAGAAATACAGAGAGGAACTTTCCTGTCCCTGCTTTAAAATACCAAGTTACCTTCCTTATTTTTGTGCAGCTGCATTACAGGGATCACCATCCCCTCACACTTATCTCAAGGTATGTCATTACTGTTAGTGGAAACAACAGATGAGCAGAATGCAAAGCACCAAGGAGTTTCTCAGTGTTGAAAGTTAATTTCCTTAGTGCACTCAGCTTTCCATTATTAAATTCAGAGGTTCTCCTGGAGAGAAGATTTGTTTCCCTGTCAGTTGTTCTGTGGCTGTTACACTACAGCCTGAGAACAGAACACACCCCCAAAAAATAGAAAAGTATGGGTGTAACACCCAAGGAATTGGCAAAGAGCAGAGGCAGGTGTAGGGCCCAAAACAACCTTTACATTCTGGAAAGAAAGAAAGAAAGAAATAAAGCTGAAGCTTTGAAGTTGAAGCCCCTTTAAAAGAGTGTGAAAAAATTTAACACCTTCAGTTTGAAAGTGTTTTCACATTTTGGGAATAGCTCAAATCATCATTCCCATCAGCCAGCTGCAAGGAATGGCAGAGCTGAGCTCTAGCCTGCCTCTTTCTGATGGTTCCTCAAATTCCAGCTCTCCAAGCTTGAGAGAGGATCAAAGCAGGCAAAGTAAAGCAAATTTACTGGGCTTGCACCTGAGAATCATTCTGTGCTTTTTTTTTTTTCTGAAGGTAACAATTCCTTGTGTTAATGCTGACTCCAAGGGCTTTCTGATCTGTACAAACACGAAATGCCTCCCCAGATTAATGGGCTTTGTACCTGTTTTATCTGGAATGAGCATTCCATCAGCCATGTCTTCAGTTTTCCAAGTGTCTTTATTATAGCTGATACACAGCTTGGGCTGTCTACAACCTACAGCAGGAGCTTCAACATCTGGACACCTTCCAGCATCAGTCTGACACATACCTGCAACAAACAAACCATCTGGCTAAAGATTACAGCCATCTGCTCCCAGGGAAAGGACCTGTTAGTCTGATTTCTGCTGCAAAAGGGAGAAAAAACCAGCAATGGAGATAATAGATAATTTTTCAGCTAAGGTGTAAGAGAATAAATGCTGCACAATCTCGGGAGAATCTCAGCACACTTAACTTCTCCTTCCTAACCTGCTGTGTTTAAATACTGTAAAACCCCAACATTTAATTTCTGAGCCTGAAGGCAGGGACAGGCAATGCTAATGCATTTTCTAGTAGAGCTTAACTATGGGTAACTCTGGTGCCAAAAATCTAACCCAAAATTAGCAAAAAATAGTCCTTAGGGCCTGAGTGAGCAGTTTGAGGCAGCCTGCTTGTAGCAACACTTACTCCTGGGAGAGGAGAGCCCTGTGAAGTCAGAGACACATCTCTGTTCTGCATAAATGCAGGAGCTGGAGAATTGCATTACGGAGATCTCTCCGATAACTCAGAACAAGCAGAGAAGTACTTTGAGCTGTGATTTCTACCTGCCCATACCAAGCTCAGAGACAGCACTACAGAAAAAAAAACAATGAAACCTTTCTCACCATTGCTGTCTATGTGCCCATTGGGCTGCTGAGTGTCCACTCTGATGGCCACGTCCTGCCGGTCCGAGAGAGTTCCCTGCGAGGACAAGTAGCTCGGCACGTCGGGAGGCACAATAGTCTCATCTGGAGCAAGGGGAGCAGAGAAATGTCAGTTCCTCAGGTCTTCAAAGGCATGGGAAATCACATTTTCAAGAGGGATCTGGGACCAGATAACTGGTATTGTCCTTAGATGCAATGGAAACTGAGCTGCCTACACACTCCTTGTCCCTGCAAGCACCACTCCTGATTTTCAAAGCTGAAAGTGCTGGTAAAGCAGTTTTGAGTGTTTGCATTTGGCATGGCCAGTACAAGGCAGGTGGAGTGGAACTGCTTCTTCAGAACAAGTAAATCCTTCCCTTTCTCCCAAAATTCAGAGCACCTCCTTTGACTCCAATCCTCTGTCTCCCTCAAAGGGAGTAAAAGGATTCTCCCTCCTCAGGAGTAAAAGGGTTCTGGAGATCAGGGGCTTGGATTCACTTAAGCAGGCAAATAAGTCTAAGCCCTTTGGCTGTCCTTGGCTTTCGCCATTTTCTCTAAGGCAGTTTCAGTTTCCTTTGTCACCCAAAACCAAGTGGAACTCAATTATGCTAGGCATGAAGCCCTGGATTTTCAGGACTGAAAAAAGGAGTTAAAAAAGAATCCCACTGATATATTACACTGCTGTTAGGATATCCAAGACTTCCTACCTAGTCCATGTCTTTAAAATCCTGTTGTGCTATATCTAAAGCTGAGCATAATATAGAAAGGCTGCAAATCCCAGCAGGGTGGGAAAGTCTTAAGCTGCTTCTTCCATACTTCTGTTCAGAGGCTGCATTACACTGAGGGCAGGAGACTTTTATCACTGCAACACTTATTTCAGCACCAAATTATCCCCTTTGAACATCAGGAGGAAGCAATAAACACTAATTCTTATCCTAAAAAGTAACAGATATATCAGCAGAGCTATAACAGCTCTTACAGGCAACATGGAAAAAGGGATTCCAGCTTCAAAGTCTAATTTTTCACATTTTGAATTCAAAGCCTTTGAAAATACAGATTCCCAAGTAGTAAGACAGGTTCCCAGTACCATGGACATAATCCAGACTGTCCCAAGAGAGATGGTCATGGAAAAATCAAAGCAGCAAAGCAATGGCTGGAACTACTGCCAAGTGGGAAAGACCTTCCCGAAGAGCAAGCCAAGGGGAGAAATGCAGCTCTGAACATGCTTCAGCAGCAAGAGAAAGAAGGTTCCAGCTCTGTGAGCCAAGAGAATCACAGAGATAAGCCAACTGCTGTTCCAGTGTGGCTGTGTCAGCCTCACAGGGATGTCTGACAGCACAAAAGCTCAAAGGAAGCCTCAGCAGGAGACTGGAGCTACCTGTGTTGGTGACACTGTACTCTTCACTCTTCTTCCTGGTCTGGTAGATGATGCAGACCCAGACGAGCGAGGTGAGCACGATGCTGCAGACCACGGCGATGGTGATGATCCCCACGGTGGTCCGATCCCTCCTGCAGCCCAGGGACTGCAGGATGCTGACGTGGCTGTGCGCGCGCTCCGTGCCCAGGGTGTTGGACATCTCGCAGGTGTACTTGCCAGCATCCTCCAACACAACGTTCCTAATGATCAGCAGCTGGTTGCCAGAGGTGAAGTGGTGCCTCTCGGTCACGGCCAGGGGCTGGTCACCCTTCAGCCAGGTGATACGCGGCGCTGGGCTCCCCGTGGCTTTGCACTGCAGAGCCACAGTCTCACCCACAGACACGACGTGGTCTTCCAGTGGATGAACCAAAGATGGTGTCTCTGCAGGGAAAACAGGCACAGAAATTAATTCTTGGGGATGGTGCAACAACAGATTTAACAGCATTTAAAACACTTGGTGTTCCTACAGACACAGCAAGGCACGAGGCAGATGAACCCTGACACATCTAACAACCACAACCAAGGCCTCACTTCCACAACCAGTTGCTGTTAGTCTTCCCACCAAGAAACCCCCAGGGCCAACAGCTGACGTGAATTATTTCACAGGGCCAGAGAAATGGAGTGCAATTTCCTTCTGAAGCAGTTTTCCTAGACAGCAAACAGGATGGTTGGAGTGGCTTCCTCAGCACAAGAGGAAATGCAACTTACAGCTCTTAATCAAGAAAGTATTTTTCGTTGGCTAACTACAGTGTAAAAATAGGAAACGAGACTAATGCAGAACACTGTCTCTCTTTTCTGTACCTTCAACCGGCAAAACGCTTGACCATCGCTCCCTCCCAGCTCCCACTCCTCCTCCTGCAGCACCAACACATCTTACCCAGGACGGTCAGGGTGGCGTTGGCCAGCACAGACCCTGCAGAGTTCTGGGCAGTGCAGCTGTAGACACCCATGTCCTCGATCTTGACGTCGGTGATGAAGAAGACGTCGTCGTCGGGCATGACGTGCATGCGTCGCTCGCGCGCCGCGGGGAAGTCGGTGCCGCCGTCCTTCTGCCAGGCGATCTGCGGCGTGGGGTGTCCCTCGGCCGC